CTGTTCCCCACTCTGTCTCTGGTGAAGCCTCTCACCGCCCCTGAGCCTCTGGCCTGTACCCCAGTTCTGTATGCACAAATAAATAAATCTTTAAATATATATATATATATCAATACATTTAAAATACATCAATAAAAGTGTAAATACATGGGCCTTCCCTGGTGGTACAGCGGGTTAAAGCACAACACTGAGAAGCTAAAGCCACTTCAGCACTTCAGCATGATTTCAATCCCGCCCCGGAGCTGCCAGGTCAGCAGACCTCTCCTGACCCACCCACTGCTCCCTCAGCAGTGTACTTCTTCCATCTGCCTGTTCTGCTCTCCACTCTGTCCCTGGTGAATCCTCTCATTGCCCCTGCACCTCTGGCTTGTGCCCCAGCTCTGTATGCATAAATAAATAAACATATTTTCTTTAAAGTCTAAGTACAACATATCAAAATGTGTGGGACAGAGCTAGGTCCATGCTTAAGGGCAAATCTACACCAAACCTATATATAAGGAAAGGGGGGGCAACTTCAAATTAGTCCTCTAAGCTCCCACCTCAAGAACTTAGAAAAAGAACAAAGCAAAGCAGAAGGAGGTAGTTAACATTAATCAATAAAATGTAATCAAGTGATTTTAAAAGAAGAAGAAAAAGATACAGACACCCAAAAACCTGCATATAAATATAAAAACAATTTCACTCATAATTACCAAAACATGGAACTGAGATGGCCTTCAGTAGTTGAATAACTAAACAAACTATGAGACATAAACACCAGGGAATAAAATGCAGCAATAAAAGGAACACACTGCTGATAGGCACATGCAACAACTTGCATAAAAGCTCCAGAGAATTGTGCTGAGTGAGAAAAGCCAGCCCAAAGAGGCCATTAAAATAGTTTTGCACAGAAAACAACTAGTGTCTATTCTACACAGACTCATCCAAAAAATTGAAAAAGAAGGAAAACTACAACATACTTTCTATGAAGCCAACATCATACTAATACACATAACAAAGAAAACACACAAAAAAGAAAACTTCAGAGCAATCTCCCTAATGAACTCTGATGCAAAAATCCTCAACAAAATCTTAGCCAACAGAATCCAACAATGCATTAAAAGAATAATACACCATGACCAAGTGGGCTTTATCCCAGGAGCACAAAGATGGTTCAACATCTGATAATCAATTAATGTAATCCATCACATCAACCAGCAGAAAAATAAAAACCACATAATCATATCAATATATAGATGCAGAGAAAGCATTCAACAATACCTATATATGTTTAAGGCCCTCTAAATCCTCTGAATAGAAGGAACATACCTAAATATGATAAAAAGCCATATTTGACAAAACCACAGCCAATATTATCCTCAATGGAGAAAAGCTGAAAGCCTTTCCCTTCAGATCAGGAACAAGACAAGGGTGTCCACTATCACCACTGCTCTTCAACATAACATTGGAAGTTCTAGCCAGAGCAATAAGACAGGAAAAAGACATACAAGGAATCCAAAAAGGGAAAGAAAAAATAAAACTGGCTTTATTTGAAGGTGATATGTTAATCTACATGGAAAACCCTAGAAACTCCACAGAGGAATTAATCAAAACCATCAACCAGTTTAACAAGGTAGCAGAATATAAAATCAACACACAAAAATCAGATGCCTTCCTATACACAACCAACCAATCAGAAGAAACAGAAATAAAAAAAAAACCATCCCCTTTTCAAATAAAACAAAAAGAATCAAATACCTAGCAATCAACCTAACAAAAGAGGTAAAAGACCTATACAAAGAAAATTACAAAACACTGTTAAAAAGAAATATATGACACCATGAAATAGAAAGACATCCCCTGCTCATGGATCAGGAGAATTAACGTCATCAAAATGGTCATCTTACCAAAAGAGATATACAGATTTAATGCCATCCCAATAAAAGTCTCAATGACATTCTTCAAAGAAATATAAAAAATATTGATGAGATTCATATGGAACAACAAAAGACCTCAAATAACCAAAATTCTCATGACTAGGAAGAAAGAGAATGGAGGCATTACAATCCCAAACTTCAAGCTATACTACAAAGCCATAATAATCAAAACTGCATGGTACTGGAACAAGAACAGACATATAGACCAGTGGATTCGGATAGAAAACCCAGATATAAACCCACAGGTTTATGGACAACTAATCTTTGACAAAGGAGTAAAGAAGATACAATGGAACAAAGAAAGTTTGTTCAGCAAATGGTGCTAGGAAAACTGGGAAGCTACATGCAAAAAAATGAAACTAGATCACTACCTCACACCATGCACAAAAATTAACTCAAAGTGGATTAAAGACCTAGACATAAGAACGGAAACCATAAAGTACCTGGAAGCAAATACATGACATATACTTCAGCAACATCTTTAAAGATAGAGCACCCAATGTAATGATAGTGAAGGCAAGGATAAACAGATGGGACTACATCAAATTAAAGAGCTTCTGTACAGCAAAAGAGATATTACAAAAAACAGACATCCCACAGATTGGGAAAAATTTTCTCACACAAACAAATCTAATGATAAATTACTGATCACAAAAAATATACAGAGAAATGATGAAACTCAACAAAAATGAAGTAAACAACCCCATCAAAAAATGGGCAGTAGAGCTAAAAGGACACTTCTCCAAAGAGGAAATGCAGTTGGCCAACAAGCATGTGAAAAAGTGTTCAACATCACTTGTAATAATGGAGATGCAAATTAAAACCACAATGAGATACTACCTCCCTCCAGTGAGAATGGCACATCTTCAAACAACTAGCAACAACAAATGTTGGTGAGGATGTGGAGAAAAAGGAACTCTCCTGCACTGCTGGTGGGAATGCAAACTAGTACAACCACTGTGGAAAGCTGTTTGGAGGGTCCTCAAACTGCTAAACATGGAGCTTCCCTACGACCCAGCAATCCCACTCCTAGGCATCTTTCCAAAAGACACAAAAACAGATTCAAAAAGATACCTGCACCCCCATTGCTGCTTTATTCACAATTGGAAAGACATGGAAACAGCCCAAATGCCCAAAAGTGGATGACTGGATTAAAAAGATGTGGTACATATATACGATGAAGTATTACTCAGCAACCAAGAAAAAGAAACATATGCCTTTTGCAGCAACATGGGTGGAGCTGGAAAAGATCATGCTTAGTGAGATAAGTCAGAAAGAAAAGGAAAAATACCAGAGGGTTCGCTCATAGCAGGAATATAATGGAACAGGCGAGAAAATAGTGATAATGATGAATAGCTATATACCAGAGACATTTTGTGGGGGTGGAGTGGGGAATGGGATCAAAAACAGTGGGGGGAGGGAAATGCACTGGACTGTGGTGATGGCACATGGGTGACTTGGTGATGGGAAACCCAAGAGGATTGCAACTGAGATGGAAAAATGCACAAAAATATGTAAAAATAAATTAATAAAATTTTAAAAAACAGTTTTGCATTTATATAGCACTTTTGAGAAGATGTGTTTACAGAAAGGGAGGAAAGACTTATAGAAGTTGAGGAGAGGAGGGGTGGGAAGGGCGGGTCTTGACTTGAAGGGGATCACTGTGGTTTGGAAAGGGTGTGTGGCACTGTCATGTAGCAGAGTCTGAGTTGTGGTTTTACTACAGTTGTGAAAGAAGTTAGTATTGGGGGAACTGGATTCTGTAGTTTGACAATTGTCTATGAATCTATAGTATTTCAAGGTCACTTTGTTTTTTAGAGGAAAACACTTTGGCTCAGCAGTGTCAAAACAGCACCCTCTTCTTCAACCCTCAAGTGAGTTCTAAGGTCCACCAAGTTCACTTACAAATGCTCAAAACTGATCTGTATAATGCACAAAAATTAGGATGCAACTAAGACAGAGATCTGAAAGAGCGATCTCTGTGCCCCAAGATGGAACGAAAAACATTGAGCTTTTTACCTAGGGAATTCCAGTTTAACCTCTTGTATCCAGACCTGAAGACTCTGATCAGCTCCTGGGAGTGGTCCTCCAGGAGGAGCAACTCAGCCTCGTTTAATGTCCCTATGAGTTTGTGGTAATGATCCAATATACGCTGAATCCCGTCTGTGTACCTGCATGGGCCAGGGGAGCCAGTGAGTGCACGCGGAGGGGCTTGTGAAGTCCCAAGTGAAGGTGCTCAACTGTCACAAAGGACCAATCACAGCCCCAAACCCTGAAAAAGACCCTCACAGAGGTTTAGAACAAGGCTACTCCTCCCACACATTTCCCTCTTTGGAAACTGTTGGCTACTTTCCATTTCATGACTGCTTCGGTAACAGGTAATCATTTATTACAGTTATTATTAGATGAATGAATGATTGCATGAATGCATACATATTCTAAACACTTCCTCTTTTATCTTCAATGTGGCAAATATTAGTAGTTATAAAATCCACAGCAACAAAGACTTTCAGAGGTGTGGGGGTTCTTGATCATTCTTAAGAGTGTAAAGGGTCCCGAGACCAAAAAGTCTACTGGTGATTTAAGAGAAGAACCTCTTACCTAAGAAATTTGTCCTCCTGAAGAGCAACGTTCCTTGCTAATTCAGGGACAGTGAACCCCAACTGTTCCAAGTACTTAGTGTCATGAATGATCTCCTTGAGAGTAGGTGAGAAATTGATCACAAAAACAGCCCCCTTGTCCAAGACCATCGTGTCCTCAGAAGTCTGTGGAGAGGCCTTTTTGTCAGTCTAGACAGGGAAGGGGCCCAGCGCTGTTCAGACACCCCTCCGCCCCCGCCACCCAAATTTAGTGTGAATTTGAGAAATAGTAACGTGAGGCCCAGGCTGCCCGGGGAAGCTGGGAATTGACAGTGTCTAGGCGGAACACAGGTTTTGTTTTGTGAACTGTCTTCTAAGAACTTGGTCTAGTCACCCACATCTGAAAATCTAGTGATTGCAGGTAAAATTGTAGAAGCCTAGCCTCCTTTACAAAGTTGGAACAGTTCATGGCAAGAATAGTCTGGTGTTGGAAACAGGGGACAGTGGAGAAGGCCCAGGCAGCCAGGCTCCTGGTGCACGGTCCCACCTGACCACCTTCACTCACTGGAGTCGGAATCTCAGAGACTAAGGCCCAAGCCTTCCCACCCCACAGCTGGTGTCCATTTACGAAGCACCTGCGTCCTCCAGGCCAGTGCTAGAGACAAGATGAAAACATGAGAGGGGTCCTCTGTCAGATGCTTCACCTAGGGCCCAGTGAACAGTCTTCATGTTTCTATCAGCCAATCCAATTTATCTTACAAATAGGGAAACTGAGGCTCAAGGTTCAGTCACTCACCCACAAGTCAGGAGGGCTGCCGGATCCTGGCCCACTCCTCACCATGTCTGTGTTCTGTCTCCATTACACTCCTCCCTGTCCCTCCTCTCTAGCCAACCTCTGCCTTTCTTTGCCATTGAGCTGGGCAATAGCTGTCAATTTCATGAGCACCCACAAATCAAACCCCAAGGACACGTGAGATGCCACTACTGACAGGACTGGGCACCCGGAAGCAGCACCTTGGTGAGTAGGCTCTTCTTCATCAGCGTTGGCAGGATCTGCTCCGTATTATCTCTCCACACCTGGTATTTTCTGTCCTCATATTCCTTCATGGCCCTGCCCACTTCCAAATATTTCTGTTTCACCTATCAAAAAATTCAGGTCATTTCCACCTTCTCCATGGAAACAACATCTTCACTCTTTCTTTTTTTATTAAGATTTATTTATTTATGCATACAGAACTGGGGTCTAGGCCAGAGGTGTAGGGGTGGTGAGAGGATTCACCAGAGACAGAGTGGGGAGCAGAACAGATGGTTTCTGCTTTAACCGGTTGTGCCACCAGGGAGGGCCCAACAGGTCATTCATTCTTTAGAAAGAAAGAAGAAGATGGGGCCCTCCCTGATGGTGCAAGAGGTTAAAACGCAGCACTGTGAAGCTGTCCACAGCCACTGAAGCATGAGTTTGATCCCCGACCAGGGAGCTGACCCACATGGCGCAGCAGACCCCTCCTGTCCTGCCTGCGGCTCCCCTCAGCAATGGATTTCAGTGAAACCATTCCCCACTGTGTCTCTAGTGAATCCTCTCATCCCCCACACCCCTGGCCTGTGCCCCAGTTCCTGTATGCATAAATAAGTAAATCTTTAGAAAAGAGAAAAGAATAGTATGTTAATGTACTTTTTAAAGGGAAGCAGATCACCTTGCACTTCTATTGGGGGTCTGTGGGAGATGATGTGACTGACCAACGGTAATCTGTATGCACAGCCATGAGCCAAGGCCAGCTTTGACCTTGTTCAGTGATCAGAAAAAAGCAAATAGAACCTCAATGCTGGCAGCACAAGAAAGTAAGTGAAGTTCAGATTGCAGGACCTCCACAAAGTTTCCCTGGTCCACAGACACGCCTGTTCATTTACTCATCACCCAGCTACATACTGGCCCCGCAGAGCACTGAGTAGCCACAACAGGACCTGCCAATCCCTGCAATAGTCACTCCCTGGACCTTTAAAGAAAAGATTGATGATCCCTTCAACCCAATGTGCAAAGCCCAGGTGTGGGAGAGCATCACCAAAGATGGCTGAAGGTCAGATGCAAGAGAAGCCCACGCACTGCCTGGATGCGCCATGTACTGAGATGCCAATGAGAAAGGCCACGGAAGGTAGTTTCAAGTCCCAGCACTATGTGAAGCGTGTGGGAAGGGCCTCGTAGGTGGCAGGCACATGGCGAGACCGAGAGCTTCTCCCACAGGCAACTCTACGCGGCCCGGGTCACTGAGGGGGCCCCAGCCACACGACACACCTCTCTCCCCAGGTCACTGTCCAGAATCTCCTCCACCTCCTGGAACCTGAGGATGGTGTGCTTGATGCGGAAGAACAGGGAGCGCTCCCAGTAGATAGCGCCTGCCACAGGAGGGTGGTTCTTGTACAGGGGTGGGTTGTCCATGTTCTGGACGAAGAGTTTGTTGATGATGTCGATCTGAAAACCAAGCAGGCGCACCCCATGAGCAGCAGATGGGACCACGCGGGCAAAGAGAGACAGAGCCCAAGGCCCACCCATGTCTTCAAAGAAATGCTCGTGACCGCTGAGATCCAGAAGAGGATCCTGAAGACCTTACTCGTTGTTCACTACTATATCTCGCCCTCTCTAGCAGCTTCCCCTTTACTTCCGTGCTCCACACGGCCTGGGATCCCACAGCCAATGGGCCAGCTGACGGACACTCCCCCGGCCGAGGCAGACACGATGGGTGGCCAGGCCTGCTCCACGCTATGCACCTGCCCGAGGCCTCAGGACAGTTTATCACGGAACGTCTTTAAATCGCGTTAAAACACACCTAACATCAAATGTGCTGTCTCCACCGTGGGTAAGTGTGCAGTTCAGAGGCTGAAGTACAGCCTCGTGCCACACACCCATCAGCCCCGACCATCTCCAGAGTGTTTTTCATCTTGCGAACTGAACCTCCATTCTCATTAAACAGGAGCTCCCCTTTCCCTCTGCCCAGGCCCGGCAACCACGACTCTGTTCTCCATGTTCTTGACTGTGATACTCCAAGCACCTGCTCTAAGCAGGATCCTACACGAGAGTCTCTCAGGGGCTGGTTTTTGTTCACTTACCAGATTGCCTCAAGACTCACACTGGGGGAGGCAGGGGTGGCGGGGCAGGGGGTTGGCAGGGTGGCATTGGGGTGCATCCAGGGGCAGCAGGGGACAGCAGGCAGCAGCGTCCCCTTCCTTCCTAAGGCCAGCATTGCACTGCATGGACAGAGCACATCTGGTTCATCATCCACCTGCAGGAGCGCGTGATTGCTTCCAACCCTTGGCTGTCAGGAAGAGCGGCCATGAACTCGGGCATGTGACCATCCTTACGAGACTCTGCTTGGGCTGTTGGGCCACACACCTGGCCTCCTTTTTAAGAGCAGGCCTTTCCACATTCCCGCAGGTAACTAGGTGCAATGATGGCCTGGATCCCCAAGACCTGTGACCTTGTTTTGTCCGGTGGCAAAGAGGACTACGGAGTGGATACAGTCAGGGCTGCTGTTTGGGGGCCTTTAAGTGGGGAGATTTCCCAGATTCTCTGGCAGGTCCCACATATCCCCAGGGTCTTTACATAGGAAGAGGGAGATGGAAGAGGGCAGGCAAAATTAGTGTGGGCCTCCCCTCACTGGCTCTGAAGATGGAGGCCAGGAGTCTCCAGAATCTAAAAACAAAAGGAAGGGAACAGAGTCCCCCTGGAAGCTCTAAAAAGGCTGCAGCCCTGGGTTTACGCCTAATCGGGCAGATCCTACCTCAGGGGTGCACCTGAGCCAGGAAAGGTGTGTCCTAACCCCAACATATGGTCACCAGGCCTCATGCAGGGGGAGGTGACATCGGCGCCCACCACATGCCACACACACTCCATCCCTTATGTCACAGCCTCTCGATTTATGCCCCCAGCAAGGCCAGAGCCTATGATTTGGTCTGTTTCTCCCACTCACTGCTGAGTTCTTTGAAGTCAGAATCTGTGTTCATCTCCCTCTCTCTGCCTCACACCATCCCGAGCCACGAGGGGACGAGCCCTGGATAACTTCTGAATTAATCCACACACACCCGCATGTGTGTGGCTAGTGTGAGCACAACTGTCGTTCACATGGTTCTTACTGTGACTCCTCCACGGAGGGCAGGAGATGCTGTCGTGCTTGAGAAATTCTTCCTGAATTTCTCCACATAATAGGCAAACCCCCTTTGATCTGGTTACCTGTCCTGTGTGACATTCCGCTCAGTGGATCCCCACCATGACGGCAGCGATAGTTCGGTCAGTTACCTCTTTACAATACTGCACAAGGATGTCATTAAACTTCATCATCATCTGTCTATTAATTGCCTCCCGTGAACGAATATGCTTAAATTTTAAAAGCATGTCAAACGCTGCTTCTGCAGATCGAAGGGTCTTGAAAGATTCATCGATGAAATTTTTGGCTTCTTTCTCAATAACCTGCCAGGAAAAAAAGAAAGCCCAGCAGAGTCTAAAAGACAGCCCTCATGCCCCTGGGACCATCCTACGAGAACAAGAAGTGCAGGAAATGAGCAGGCGCACAGCTGAGCTCTGGCAGGAGTGGTCCCGTCAAAGGGGATGGTTGATCATGCTTTCCTGCATCGCGCTCAAAGGCCTGTCACTTAGACAGAGACAATGAGGAGACCACAAGCACAGGGCAGGTGGTTTAGGAGTTTGGGACATTCCAGCTGACCCGAGAGGGCACCAAGTGGACACAGGAATGTCCACTGGCACCTGACACTAGTCTGTGCTGTTCCCATCTTTTTTTTTTTTTTTTTTAACAAATAAGAAGGTATCACTTCTTCTCTTTAAAACAAACAGCTCTCAGCATGATTAAACCCAGGCTGGTAACAAGGGGGAATGCGACCACTCCCAGGCCACGAGCTACTTGCCAGAACTTCAATCTTGAAGTCGTCAATTACGTATTTCCAGTACTGGGAGGACTTGATGCTGAAGGGGTCAAAGGTCAAGTTCTCCATGGGGCTGACCAGGCCGTCCACCCGGCACAGCACGTCGTCGATGCGCTTGGGGTCGCCAGTCACCGCTTTCAGTTCTGGGCCAAATATGTTGTAAAACTCCTCCACTACCTGTGAGCCGAGCAAGCCCTGGGGTCACTTTTGGTTGTGTTCTGGCTTTTCTGGCCACCAGTAGGGGACATGTCCAGATTTGCTTGGGGGGCATCACGTTACCAGGCCACTTCCCCCTAGTCTGTGCTCCCCAAGTTGGGGCACCAGACACCAGGCACAGCTGACCAGGCAGCGTGCTGGGGCCTCCCGTCTGCTCCTCCCTGGCTCTGGGAGAGCCCCTTCCAGTCACGTTCATTTCTGTCTCAGGGCCTTTGCACTTCCCTTTCAAGTGCCTGCTCAACACTACTTATCATTAAACATCGCTCAGTCACTCACGTCCAGCCCCACAGACCAGCCCAGGCTTCCAGAGCCCCTCAGCTATTCTTTCCGTGGCTCGCCAGGCAGTTGCTGCACCTTCCACCTCTCTCTTCCACTAGACTGTCTGCTCCCAAAACCATAGCGCTCGCACGTGTTTGCCCAGGCCAGTTTCGAGGGCCTACAATTGACTGGCCACTGGCTGGCTCATAGGGCCCTGGGCTCAGGAGGGCTCAGCTATGCCCAACTTAACATTCCTAGTCCTCTCATCTTTGAACTTGTTCTATGGGGAACAACAGTCAAGGGACAATGTGTGTACACAGGTGCAGAGGGACTGCAGAGTGCAGACTGCCGTCCACTACGGTGCCCCATGTCCAGCAAGCAGAATTCTGGGGAAGACTCAAACACAACAGAGGCCAATGTGTCACATCCACAGAGTTTAAATAAGGAGGCTGGTGACTCCAAGGGGCCATGTTCTCCCTTCCAACCAGAACTTACTGCAAACACAGAAAGAAGACTAAGGAATGTTCTGTGGAGCACACCTGGCCCAGAATCTCTCCTACCCTGTTTCCTCCCTGGAGGAGGATTTGGGGACAAGGAGGTGCCCAAGGTCAAAGGAAAATCAAGGGCAAGAGGAGGAGGGAGGGGTGTCACAGCAGACCAGGACAAGCTGCAAAGTTTAGGGGTGTCCTGCTGCCTTCTGGAATCTTCTGAAATCTTCTGGGGTCTTCCACATCCTCTTTCAAGTGCTCCTCCCAGCCAGACTTTCTCTGTCCCCAGCACAGAGCGCTGTTACCAAAGAACCAAACAACCCCTCCGCCAAACTCCAGCAGCACCCCCTTGGCCAGCCGACCTGCAGAATGTCGTAGAGGTCCTGGCAGATGGCGGCCATGTAGTCCGTCCTCTCAAACAGCCGCTTCCGGTCAAATTCCCACCGGGCCTCTCTCCCCGAAGCCTCAATCTTGGCCCTGACTTCAAAATAGGATTTTTTCCACATGTGCAGGGTGTTCTTGGCCTCCGCGGTTTTGCGCTGTGCACTCGCTCGGTTCTCCCTGCAGAGCAGTGACTCTGAGAGGTGGGAAGGGGGGGCCAGGGTGGGTCTAAGGGAAAAGCCCTAGCATGTCAGCACTGCCCACTGCCCCATCCCAGCTCTCCACCTGTGTAAAGGCTGGTTCTGTGGTGGCTCTGCAGGGCGGGGGCAGGACCCCAGCCAGGCAGATGACCTGACAGACAAGGGCACAAGCCCTGGTCCACCCACTCGGCCTCCTGTGTGACCTGGAGGGAGAGCAAGTAACCCTGCGACCTAGTGGGGGTCAACTCCAGAGCCAATTGACAATGCCAACTCCCCCAGGGCCTGCTTCACCTAGAAGTTATGTCCTTTTTTTCCCCCCAAGATTTATTTATTTATACATACAGAACTGGGCTACAAGACAGAGGTGTCGGGGATGAGAGGCTTCACCAGAGACAGAGCGGGTAGCGGGACAGGCAGATCAATGAAGTACACTGCTTAGGGGAGCAGTGGGCGGGTCAGGAGAGGTCAAAACGTGGGTCACCTCTCTCCATGGAGGAGGATCGAACTCATGCTGAAGGCTAGCTCTGCAGTGCCGCACCTTACCCCTCTGAGCCTCCAGTGAGGGCCTGAGCTTTTGTCCTTTTTAATGGGAAAAAAAAGATCTCCTCCCCTTCAACTCTTGAACCTCAGAGTGAGTCAAGCAACCCTCTCACCCTCTGCCTCAGTCTCTCCAGGGGAACCAGGGAGAAGATCCCGGCTAAAATAAAGTGATACCTTAGGAGCCCTGACACCTACTACCATGTGGAGGAACCTAAAATCCAGACCCCACCTACTACCATGTGGAGGAACCTAAAAGCCAGACCCACAGGCACAGATGTGCAAGTCTTCAGAACAGAAAGGGGAGTAGAGGCCACCCAGGGAGCGGGGTTGGGGAGGGAGCCTGTCGAAAGGTTGGAAGTTTCTTTAGGGAGAAAGGAAATATTCTAAAATTCAACTGCAGGTCAGGTATGGACTCTGCGACCACTCCCTGCCCGCGGGCTTGTGCATTTAAGTGCGCGGCCAGCAGGGCCATGCGTGGGGCTTCCAAGAAGCCGCGTGGGATCCCAGGAGAGCAAAGGGCAGCTCCTCACCTGAACAGCGTCCGCAGGTTGACCACTCGGCAGACCCGGTCGGCGATTTCCCAGGCAATGCGCTCCATGAGCGGGATCATTCTCTCGTCCTTGTTGTAGTGCCGGGAAATGATCCACACCATCCGCAGGGCGTTCATCATGGATGGGATCGTTTCCAGGACAACGTGGAAGTTGGCGCCATGGGTTATGTTCTGACCAGAGAGGCACAAACTGAGTGAGCAGGGCCATGCTGTGGCCCCAGGACCACACCATTGCACAAAGCAGCGGGTGTGCCCTGAGTTTCACTCTTCTCAGCAAAGCAAATATTGTGCTTATCGTGGAAGAAAGTGCCTGGCAACACCAAGGAGTTTGAGATTGATCTGGAACCACTGACATAATAGATAAAATTGACAATTTTAAGATCTTAGGGGGAAAGAGACTGGCCCTCAGGAGAGGGAGTGACATCTCCACCCCTCGAATCTGCACGGGCGTGGCCCAGTCTCCAGCCCCCAGGAGAGGGGATATACCACCTACAAGCATAGATCTTAGCTGGGCTGCTGCTGGCGTCTGGAGAGCCAGCCACCCTGGAGGAAAGTAACCCCCAACACCAAGGTTGGAGAGGGCATGGAGGGAGAGGAGCCCCAGCGGCCATGGGAAGGAGGGCATCATGTGAGCTGGAGTAGACATTGTGGTAAGCGATCTGGGCTCAGCTTAAAAAACTTAAAATGGAAAAGACCCAGCACCTCTCCAAATAACATGAGACCATCAACTCGGAGGTGGACGTGCTGACAATGTTCACAGGGTGTCCACATGGCTGGGACGCAGAAGAAGCCTGAGTGCCCATGGAGAGAGAGTGGGTGAGAGAGAGGTGGGCCAGCCACGCCCAGGAATACCAAAATGCTGCCACTGTCAGCAAAATGGAAGAGTTCAGAGTGACTGTGTGGGCTAAAGCAAGACAATACCAAAGACCAACACCAGAGGGCTGACTGGGTAACAGGGTGGTCCCCCGGAAAAGGGGAGGTTCCGGGTTTCTTGCCCCACCCAAGGAAAGGTGGAGCTGAGCAGGAAAGTGAAGAATCTGGAGAGGAGACTGAAGAGGATGGAAGAGGGATGGAGCCAGAAGGAGACCTGAGGGAGGCACAAGGAGCAGGGAGACATGAGGACAAGCAGCTGTTGGTTCTTGGCCCTGGACTTGTTGGAAAAAATGTGGGTGAGAGACCTGTGGGAAAGTTAACTATGGCAGTGTTTATTGATTTTAATTGTGCTCTTTTCCTCCCAGACTTGTCTGGTCATTTCTGACCCTTTTCTATAGGTCCTAGCCAGAAAGTACTTTAGACTTGTGACAGGCTTTCAGGCCTTGCTGTGGGCCAATCCCTTCTGGTGGACTTTTACCCATAAGGGGATGGGTAACTTTGGGTGTTTGATTTAGAAACTATATTCGGCCCTCCCTGGTGGCGCAGCGGGTTAAAGCACTGCACTGAGAAGCTAAAGCCACTTTCACATGAGTTCGATTCCCGCCTGCCCCGGAGGTGACCACATGGCGTGGCAGACCTCCCCTGACCCACCCGCTGCTCCCCTCAAGCAGTGTACTTTGTAGATCTGCCTGTTCTGCTCCCCACTCTGTCTCTGGTGAAGCCTCTCGCCGCCTCTGAGCCTCTGGCCTGTACCCCAGTACAAATAAATGAATCTTTAAAAAAAAAAAAAAAAGAAACTATACTCTTTGTCTTTCTGTATTGCACGCTAATTGTATTAAAGTTCGTTTCCATTAAAGATCTTACATGGTTTGTCTTGATGCAGTGGATGGCAGAAACTATTTAGAGCAGGCAGGTTTGGGGGTTCAGGGGTGTCCTTCTCCCTGCCCTGTAACAATTTGATAAAGCAAAATATGTAAAAATATGCACAGACATTAACACCCAAGGAGGGAGGGATGGAAAGGGTTATGTAGGATCTTATTTTAAAGGTGGATGATTCCCGTGGGGAGAAATACAGCCGTCAGGTTCTGAGAAGTCCAAGCTGCATGAAGAGCTGGGGTGGGGGTGCTAGGGGGAGGGTGGGTTGAAGATCTACAGGAGAAAGAGAGGCCACGGACACCCAGGCACCAGCCATGAAAGGAGATCATTTTGTAGGCAGCCTCCAGGCAAGCCTCCAGCTTGCCATCCCATGGAGCCACCTGGCCGAGCCTGCCCAGATTCCCGCCCCACAACATTGAGAGACAAAATAGCTGTCATTAAGGAAGGAAAAAAGACTTTCCACCTTCCCCCAGATGAGTTATCGAACAAGGAGTTTGTATTCAGAGTTTTAAATCTTAAAAACCAATAAGACTAATTAAAAATGAGACAGGGATTAAAACAGATGAATGTCACTAAAGACACACGAACAGATAAGGAGCATGTGCAAAGGTGTTGTGTCTCATCACACATCAGGGAAACACAAAACCCAATCATCAGGAGATGCTACTTCATGCCCTTGAGCAGGGTCATCACCAAAAAGAGAGCCTCGGTGAGGCGGGGACCCTCGTAGATCACTGGTGGGAATGTAAAATGGTATCACCACTAAAGAATAGTCTGGAAGTTCCTCAATGCATAGTTCCTTCCAACCAGGCAGTTTCACTCCTAGGGATTTAGTCAAGATCCTTAAAAACATATGTCCACACAAAGCCTCATGCATCACAGCATTTTTCAAAGGCCAAAATTGGAGACAACCCAAATGTCCTTCCACGGGTGAATGAATATGTACAGTGGATATTAATATGCATATTATCCAGCCTTTATAAAGGGGATTCTGCCAGATGCTACAGCATGGATGAGCCTTGAAAACATGACTCTAAGTGAAATAATCCAGACACAGAAGGGTAGATATTGTAGGTTTCCACCTAGGTGAAATACCTAGGGTAGGCAAGTTCACAGACAGAGGGTAGGACAGAGGACACCAGAGGCAGTGGTAATGGGGGTGCATCAGATTCAAGGGGTACAGAGTTTGTTGAGCATGATAAAAGGCTTTGGATATAGCTCATGATGACAGGAATACAGCATTGTGTCTTACTTAATGCCACTTACTAGTAGTCAAAATGATAAACACATTATGTCTATCTGACCACAATTTTTTAACATTTTGGTTTTTTTGTTTGTTTTGTTTTGTTTTTTTTTAAAGATTTATTTATTTATTCATATAGAACTCGGGTACAGGCGAGAGATGCGGAGGGTGAGAGGATTCACCAGAGACAGAGTGGGGAGCAGAACAGGCAGATGGACGAAGTACACTGCTGAGGGGAGCAGCGGGCGGGTCAGGAGAGGTCTGCCACACCATGTGGTCACCTCCGGGGCAGGCGGGGATCGAACCCATGCGCAAGCGGTTTTTGATTCTCAGTGCTGTGCTTTAACCCGCTGCGCCACCAGGGAGGGCCTAACATGTTGGTTTTTAAGAAAGAAAATTAAATCTTGATGAGATGGAATTTCCAGAGCTGATACCACAGGGCCTGCATACCTTGAAATGACGTTCCACGGTGGACAGGAACCGTACATTGTCCGAGGCTTCCGTGTGGTACTTGTACAAGTCGGTCAGGACAGGCTGCAGGTTCACCACCAGCAGAGAGTCGGACTCCTTGATCACCTCCAGGACCTTTCTGACAATTGGGAGCTTAGTCTGCTCATGGAGGGCACTAAGGGTTGCATTTCTTTCTCTCCAGAATTCAATTTCAGCCAGAGGGCCATTTCCCTGAGAGATGACAGGAACACACACAGCTCTTGTTGTTGGTGACAAGTATCCAGTTGCAGTTGTTTCGCCAGCACCCACTCCTACTCTCCCAACCACTCTATTCGGGGCTAATCAGATCCCCTTGGACTTTGCAGGTGGGCCCTGGACCTAGGATGGTGGAATCAGAGTGAATCTCAGACTTCAGCTGGAAATGCTCAGCAAAATGCTCGGCTGGACAATGTGGTGGAGATGTGGATCCTGAAATTGCTACAAATTGCTTCCATAAAGGAAACCAGCCTGAGGAGGAAGCCTCCACAGAGAAAAGGTTAGAAGCAACTGATTCACAGAGAAACTCAGAGCCAGCATCCTGATCAAATCATATCTGAAATTGGCCCTGCCCTCTGGAACTTTTGATTTCCTCGGAACAGATTCTCTTTCTTATTCAAGTCAGCTGAGTCGTGTTTCTGGGTTTTGGCAGCCCAAGCATCCTGACTGACACCCCACATCATCTTTACTGATCCAGGTGGTAACCTGATGGCACACTAAGATCAGGAAGCCCTAGTATCACATCTTACTTCCATCTTTTAAGGAAGTCACAGAACAGTAATAGAAGAAGCTAGACCACACAGGTCCCCAGACTCCTGGCTCTTTCCTAGAGGGCAGCAGAAAATGGACCAGTGAGCTTCAAAAGCATCATCCAAGTTACCTGAGGGGTCTTTTTCAGCTGGTCCTCCAGAGCTGTGGATATCTGATTCAACCAGTTTATCACACATTGCTCCAAGATTTCAACAGTCTCCATGTTAGCTGCCAGTTCAGATACCTCTCCCTCAACACTGATGCTGGGCATTTCTAGCTTGATCTCACCTAGTTGAGTGAAAAATGATCAGTCAGCCACTAGTTTGAAGGAAATTATTGCCCTAAAGGCCTTCCTCTCTTTCTCACGCCCTTATTCTTTCAGAGTTCTATTTGTGTGTGTGTGTGTGTGTGTGTGTAACAGAACTGGGGTGTGGGCCAGATGTATGGGGGGGAGGGGTAAAAGGGATTCACCAGAGACAGAGTGGGGAACAGAATAGACAAATTGACTGAAATACACTGCTGAGGGGAGCAGCGGGGAGACAAGAGAGGTCTTCTGCACATGAACAAAACAAATCTAAACCCATTAGTGATTGTCTGAAGACAAGGGGCAAGAGGAGGTGGGTAAATCAGGTAAAAGGGGCCAATTGTACAGTGAAGGATGGAATTGATTGATTTAATGGAGTGCATGCAATGTTGTTTTTAATGGTTCACACCTGAGGCTTAGAAGTTGGCATGCAATATTACCTCAGTGACAAATCATTAAATCATTTTTCAAATAATCAATTTTTTTAAAGTTACAAAAAAAAATAAATCAAAAGCTCTTGAATTCCTAAATGGCCTTCTGAAAGCAAAATAATTATGCTTAGCTAAAGGGGAAAATGAGCCTTACCTTCCAATTGTTGTATTGTCCTTTGAATACTATTTGCAAATTTTTGGAGGTTCATTAAAAATTCATCCCGCATTAATTGAATGCTGTGATATTCTACTGCTTCCCCGGGCAGGGTACCCAGGTCCATCTCATACCCCATCGTGCTTGAGAACTCTCCAGATGTGAGGCCTGTGCTTCCTTCCTTGTGCTGATTGAAGGACAAAGCTGGCAAAAAAACCTGAAATGCCAAGTGGACAAAGCACATTGCATGTGGTCAAATTCACCAACAGGTGTGCTTCAGCTGCCTCTGGCTTCCTCTCGTGTAAGCTGAGCTTCTGGCCAAAGGGCAAAGAGCCAAAGAGAAGCTGTGTTGGACTCCAAGGATGCCAGGCCGGGGATCTGACCTGGGCTGAGGCCCCTGCTCAGACAACAGCCTGGCACAACTGTTGCTGCCCAACTGAGAAGCCCAGAAGGTGGCACCCAGAGAAGAGGGTGTACACTGGTGGGGGGCACAGGGCCACACAAGCTTGTGTGGAGGCTTAGTCAGGAATGTCAGAGACATGGTCTTTTTGACATTTAATTGAGGAGAGAAGTGGCTTGGAGACAATTACAAAATTTACTCCACATAAAAAGGGGTGCACAAAAATGCCTGTTCACTTGATGCATGGGTGGGGTTTGGTTGGCTCTTTAGATTTCCCTAATTTTTCTTAAAATAACTTTTAAGACGGGTTCTGGCAAGATGGCAGCAGAGTGAAGACGCCAAAATCACTACGTCCAAACTCACACAGGAATATAAGATGGAAAACAGACTGTGAACTCACATACTTCAACTTTCAGCCCAAATGAGAACACCCTGGACTCACTAGAAGGATAACTGAGGGAGAATTGGTGTTTGGCTGGAGTTCCAATAGGGGAACTCCAATCCAACCCAGGAGCAGGAAGGAAACTTATTTCCCTTCCCCCCTTCAGCCGCCCTGAAGATACAGAGAGACAGCTCAGCTGGGTGAGTGGAATCCAAGTAGCAGGGAAAGGCTGCAGCCCCATACCGGATTGCCTAGGCACCCAGGTGCTAAGACCCATGAGAGCCCAGGTGCCCAATCACCAGAAGAAGATTTGATTCCCTTCCCCCCTTAGCCTGCACTGGAGATAAGGAGAGACAGCGCAGCTGGGTGAATGGAATCCAAACTGCAGGGAAAGGCTACAGCCCAGATTCAGATCTCCCAGGCACCCAGGTGCTAGGACCTAGGCACTAGGAAGGTCCTTAGGAGGAGGCTTACTTTCCTTCAGCCCACCCTGGAGATAAGGAGAGACAACTCAACTCACAGAGGCCTGAAGACTTGTGAGCTGGAAAGGTTCACAGTACTCAGAAAGTAAATAAAACCAGTGACCAACTCAATCACAGGCCCAGCTGTAGAGAGACCTACAACACTTCTAATGCACCCCACCCTCTACAGACACATCTAAGCATAGAGGGAACCCAGGACATCAGAGGCTACAAAAGCAGCAGGCATCTTCCAGAGACAAGGACTCAAGGTGTTACTGGAAGAAGCCGAACACCACAAGAGACCCCTGACAGTTATTGGCTGAGAAGTCCCTCAGCCACCCCAGAAAGAATGCCGGTCAATAATAACAACACCATGTCTCAGCGAATAGAAAGTATTAGAAAATACATGACAAGGAAAAGAAGATAAACAAATACCCAAGCAAGTCCACAGGGGAAAAATTCACCACAAAAAGATCAGTCAGCAGAAACTACCAAAGAAATAGAAGAACTGCTCAGCCTACCAGATAGAGAATTCAAAAGCATCATGATAAACAAACAAAAAGAAGATGAGAAGGAAAAAAATGAAATGAGACAAGTCATCTGACACAAGCTATGCAACGTCCATCATCTGACAGATTCCGGGTGGATCGGGATAAGTTCTGAAAAATCAGACTGTCCACTGCTAACTTATGTTATGACCTCCCTTTTTTGTATAAACATAATATCAAAATATTATGAGCAAAATTCAGTTTATAACTGGATTGTCTTAGCCACACAGGCGGCTGCCTGGTTCAGGCAAGCTGCCCCAGGAGAAGAAATTCCTCTATCTCCTGAGACAAAGGCAAGCTCCAGGAAAAATAAGACCCCAGGATATAAAAATTCCTGGGAAGCTTCCTTGGTTTCTTTAAATAAAAAAATCAAATAAAAAAAATCAACAAGATAAAAACTAAGCAAAAACACTAAAACTCTGAACAAGGACCTGGACAACATGGGTCGAACAGACATCTATAGAATATTGCACCCCAAAAAATCTGAGTACACATTTTTCTCAAACCCACATGGGTTATTCTCTAGGATTGACCACATACTGGATCACAAGATAAATATCAATAGATACACTAAGATTGAAATTATACCAACTATTTTCTCTAAACATGAAGGAATCAAACTAGAAATAAACCATATGAGGAAGACAAGAAACCCACCTACCACGTGGAGACTGAAACCCACATTACTGCAGGACCATTGGATTAATGAGGAGATCAAGAAGAAATCAAAAAATACTTGGAGAAGAATGATAATGACAACACAAGTCTCCAAAACTTATGGGACACATTAAAAGCAGTTATAAGAGGAAAATATATATCAATACAGGCTCACATAAAGAAATAAGAAATAACTCAAAGAAACAACCTAGTCTCCCACCTTAAAGAACTGGAAAAAGAACAACAAAATAACCCAAAAGCCAGTAGAAGACAGGAAATAATAAAAGTCAAATCAGAAATAAATGAAATGGAGGTTAGGAAAACAGGTCAAAAAATCAATGAAACCAAAATTTGGTACTTCGAAAAAATAAACAAAATAAACAGGCCACTAGCCAAGCTCACAAAGAAAAAACAAGAGAAACTACACATAAACAGAATCATAAACAAAAGAGGAGAAATCACAACAGATCCAGCAGAAACCAAAAGAATAATCATAAAATACTATGAACAACTATATGCAAACAAGTTTGAAAATTTAGCAGAAATGGACAAATTCCTACAACTCTACAACCACCCAAAGCTAGATAAAAAAGATAGAACAACTAAACAGGCCAATTACAAACAAGGAAATTGAAGAAGTAATCAAAAACCTCCCTAAAAATAAAAGCCCAGGACCAGATGGATTTGCAAATGAATTTTACCAAACGTTCAGAAAAGAACTAGTGCCTATTCTACACAGACTCAACCAAAAAATCAAAAAAGAAGGAAAACTACCACACACTTTCTACGAAGCCAACATTACACTAATACCAAAACCTAACAAAGAAAACACACAAAAAAGAAAACTTCAGACCAATCTCCCTAATGAACACTGATGCAAAAATCCTCAACAAAATCTTAGCTAACAGAATCCAACAATGCATTAAAGAATAATACACCATGACCAAGTGGGCTTTATCCCAGGAGCACAAAGATGGCTCAACATCAGAAAATCAATTAATGTAATCCATCACATCAACCAACAGAAAAATAAAAACCACATAATCATATCAAAAGATGTGGAGAAAGCATTCGACAAAGCTCACACCCATTTATGTTTAAGGCCCTTGAAATCCTCAGAATAGAAGGACCATACCTCAACATGATAAAAGCCATATATGACAAACCCATAGCCAATATTATCCTCAATGGAGAAAAGCTGAAAGCCTTTCTTTTGAGATCAGGAACAAGACAAGGGTGTCCACTATCGCAACATAACCTTGGAAGCTCTAACCAGAGCAATAAGACAGGAAAACTACATACAAGGAATCCAAATAGGAAAAGAAGTAGTAAAACTGTCCTTATATGCAGACCACATGTTAATTTACATGGAAAACCCTAGAAACTCCACAGAGAAATTAATCAAAACCATCAACTGGTTTAGCAAGGTAGCAGGATATAAATTCAACACACAAAAATCAGAGGCCTTCCTACATACAAACAACCAATTAGAAGAAGCAGAAATTTTAAAAAGCATCCCCTTTTGAATTAAAACATAAAGAATTAAATACCTGGAAGTCAACCTAACAAAAGAGGCAAAAGACCTTTACAAAGAAAATTACAAAACTCTGTTAAAAGAAATTCAAGAAGACACCATGAACTGGAAAGATATTCCCTGCTCATGGATTGGGGGAATTAACATCATCAAAATGGCCATCCTGCCAAAAGCAATATACAGATTGAACACCATCCCAATAAAAGTCTCAATGACATTCTTCAAAGAAATAGAAAAATTATTGATGAGATTCATATGGAACAACAAAAGACCTCAAATAGCCAAAACTCTCATGACTAGGAAGAAAGAGAATAGAGACATTACAATCCCAAACTTCAAGCTATACTACAAAGCCACAATAGTCAAACCTGCATGGTACTGAACAAGAACAGACATACAGACCAGTAGATTCGGATAGAAAACCCAGATATAAACCCACAGGTTTATGGACAGCTAATCTTTGACAAAGGAGCAAAGAAGATACAAGGGAGCAAAGAAATTTTGTTCAGCAAATGGTGCTGGGAAAACTGGGAAGCTACATGTAAAAAAATGAAACTAGATCACTACTTCTCACCATACACAAAAATCAACTCGAAGTGGATTAAAGAACTAGACATAAGAACAGAAACCATAAAATACCTGGAAGCAAAGTTGGGCCAAACACTACACGACATATACTTCAGTGATATATTTAAAGATAGAGCACTCAATGCAATGATAGTGAAGGCAAGGATAAACAGATGGGACTACATCAAGTTAAAGAGCTCTGTACAACAAAAGAGATATTACAAAAAACAAACAGACATTCCATGGATTGGGAAAAAAATTTCTCATACAGAATCTGTGATAAAGGATTGATCAAAAAGATAGACAAAGAACTGATGAAACTCAACAAAATAAAGCAAACAACCCCATCAAAAACTGGGCAGAAGAGCTAAAAAGACACTTCTCCAAGGAGGAAATGCAGATGGCCAACATATGAAAAAATGTTCAACATCACTTGTATTACAGGAGATGTAAATTAAAACCACAATGAGGTACCACCTCCCCCCAGTGAGAATGGCACATCTTCAAACAGCTAGCAACAACAAATGTTGGCGAGGATGTGGAGGAAAAGGAACTCTCCAGCACTGCTGGTGGGAATGCAAACTAGTACAACCACTATGGAAAACTGTTTGGAGGTTCCCTACACCCAGCAATCCCACTCCTAGGTATCTACCCAAAAGACACAAAAACACTGATTCAAAAAGATACCTGCACCCCCATGTTTATTGCTGCTTTATTTACAATTGGAAAGACATGGAAACAGCTCAAATGCCTAAAAGTGGATGACTGGTACATATACACAATGGAGTATTACTCAGGAACCAAAAAAGACAAACTCATGCCTTTTGCAGCAACATGGATGGAGCTGGAAAAGATCATGCTTAGTGAAATAAGCCAGAAAGAAAAGGAAAAATACCAGATGGTTTCACTCACAGCAGGAGTGTAATGGACCAGGAGAGAAAATAATAATAATAATGAACAGCTATATACCAGAGACGTTTTATGGGGGTGGAGTGGGGAATGGGATCAAAAACAGGGGGGGAGGGAAATGCACTGGACTTTAGTGATGGCACATGGGTGATTTGGTGATGGGAAGCCCAAGGGAATTACAACTGAGATGGAAAAATGCAGAAAGTGATGTAAAAATAAACTATTATATTATTTAAAAAAAAAAAAAAGTTCCAAAAGGAAAAAAAAAACTTTTAAGACTCTTTTCATCTGTGGGTGCTTCCAAATTACTGAAGACCCTGAATGTTTAACCTGAGCTTCTGGAAATCTGCTGAGGGCAAGGTTACCTCAAACAGTGGGCAAAAGAGGGGGGCCAAAAGGCACTGCAGGTCCCTCTAGGTCCAGCCTTTCCAGCAAACTGGTGGCCCCACCCAGGCCAACTCAAGACTTCCTAGATGCTGAGCTGCCTGCTCCTCACTGCGCCCCCTGCGCACCCAGGGGGCACCGAGGGCCCCTCACCCACTCCAGCAGGGCAGCCTTCTTCCCAGGGGTACTCCTTCTGTCCCAAGTGCACCCCGTATCCTGTAGTTTCCTGCCCTCTCCCACCTCCTCCCACACACGATGCTGCCAAGCTGTCTGGGGGGGTTCTCTCTACTTATTCACATCTTAGGGTTCATAAATGAACGCCCACTTCTAGATCAGCGCTGGGCTAAGCTCCGGCCTTGCCATGTGTTTGCTCGACCTTTCTGTGTGCAGTTGGGGCAATTCCAACACCCAACACTCCCCCTCCCCCACTCACAGCATTTGTTCACCCCTCTGGTATAGACAAGCCTTGGGAGATAAGGCAGTCACCTTGCCTTCCTCCCAGAGCCCATACTACTCGCTAGAGTCCATGCATGGGCCTGGAGGAGGGGAGGTCACCTGTTCACCATGCTCTGGTGGAAGAGACAAGGGCCGAACCTTAAACCCAGAGACGCCCTGGGCCCCATGTACCTGGCCTATGATCTCCTTCAAGAAGCTGAGCATCCTGGCATTCAGAATCCCATACTCCATCGTCTGGGGCATGAGCTCCATGGTCTCCTTCATGTCGGTGGCCTCGGGGACCGCCTCTAAACAGGGAGAGTCCCAGTGGGCCGTGAGTGGGGGCAAGTGGCAGTTTACAGAGTCTGCTCTTCAGCCTCAGGGTGCCTGTCCCCTACCGGAGCAGAAGCCGGTTTCTATCCAACCTGCCCTCAGCCCTAAGAAGCTGAGGCGCAAACTGACCCGCTACGGCCAGCACCAGAGAGCTGCATACAGGACCAGGAGGGTGGAGACAGTCGCATTTTCTGGACACGTGTGGGTCCCCGCTTCTCCCACACCCCTACTTTCCGGGAGTCTCCCCATTTCATCAACAAAGTTCCCTTTGAGTTACGGGTTAGTCTTACTTGTGTACTTGTCCTAAACTGTCCAATCTCGTGGCTCTATTTGGCATGAATTTACTTCACCCAACAAAATTCAGTCAGCTCAGCAGACATCTGCAAGTGATGTCAGACCATGCCCCCCAGGGCTGGGAAGGAGAGGACGCAGCACCCGCCAGCCCGGCAACCAGCTCCCGCCCCCGGCCCTTCAAGTACACCCCATTCCTGGCTATCAGGGTACCCTCTTTGCTTGCTTTTTCTTTTTTTTATAATGAATGCTCCTTTATTTTTTTTAATGACACCAACGTAAAATTTATCAATGTAATATTTTAGACTCCACCTTTTTTCTCCACCCAATGCTTCTTCTTTTAATTATACTTAAATAAAACTACTTTAAAGGGGAGCCGCACAAAGAACCCCGTGTGGAAAAATGAGAAGGTTTGACATCAGCAGAAGACTGTGCAGAAACGCCTGTGCCCTGTGCCAGGGAGATCTGGGGCCAAGCCTGTGCCTGCAGGGGATGTGGCTGCTCAAGCTCGCAGGAGGAGGCGTTAGAGGAGCACCAGGCTCGGCACCATCTTACTTCTTGCTCCCACCCACTTGGGAAGAACAAACTACAGAACAGACAGGGCTGGCTGGTGATCCCGACACAAAGCACCATCCAAGCTCAAAAAAAAAAAGCAACATCATTTTTTGTTCTAGAACAAAGATTGCTGTCAAAACCTCAAACTGGTAGAAAGTAGAGGTAGAAGAAATTTAGGGAAAATTCAGGAAAGCACAACTCCGGGAGTGGGGAGTCAGCTGATCACATCCCACTAGGAGCTCAGCAAAGACCCCACCCATGGCTACAATCCCTGGGGGACTCACCAAAGACCCCAGATAGCCCCAGGACAGTGTACACAGCTGAACACACCTAGCGGATGTTTTGCCCAGAGTGACCCGGCTGGGCAGGCCTGGTCTGCAAGCAGGACCAGGTATGGAGGCCACTTGGCTGCTGGGTGAGCCCCACAGCTCTTCATGGCCATGGGTCACAGTACCCAAATCTGCCCGTAATGTGTTACATGGAGTGAAGACACCCTCACGTGGTCTCCTTACTCGCTGCAGCCCATCTGTCACGGGCCCCAGCACAGAACCTGCAGACCCAAGCCTGCCCCTGGGCAGGGCTCCCCCGGCCCACTGAGCCATTGACCACACGGAGCCCGCATGACAGCTCTGCTCAGGACTCTGGATGAACAGAGCTGATTCCCTGAGCGCAAACCCACAGCCAAGGCACCAACCCCGCCTGCACACATCAGACACCGGTCTCCTCGAGCTCAGTGCCTGCAGCCTTGTAAACAGGGACTGCGCCGGCAAAAAGCCCAAAAGGTGGGAACCACCGCACTGACCAGGCCCGGGGTAGGGGTCACTCCTGCATCCTCTGGGGGATCGGGCACAGGGGACACTGGAGCTTCTGCCTTTTGCACGTGTCCTGGACTGACCTCCCACGCCCTGCCCGCAGTGACTGGGCTGCAGGACACCAGGGCAAGGACAGAAACCGGAATCCAGGGATGATGGAGGAGGAGACTGGCTCACTAACAGAAAGCTCTGTTCTCAGGGATATGTCAACAGGAAGAAGCTCTCACAGATACAGGTGTGGGAACACACCCCCTCGCCCCCACACACACACAGGAAATATACCTTTTGTGTTTCTGAGAAAAAACACCACATTCTGGTCCAGAAACTCCTCAGGGACGGGACCACAAAGCACGCAGAGACAAATCTTTTCCACTATCTGCTTCACAATTTTCTGGAATACGGGGAATGAGACAAAAGTCACACAGAGACACACGTTCCACCACCCTGCTCCGGCCGCCAGCACCTCCTGTTCAAAGGTATCAGCTCACCTGTAGGGATCCCAGGCCCCAGTGTGGTCCCCCTGGGCACAGGGTTACCCCCAGATTCGACCTCAGCTGGCTCCTCTATAGGAGCTGGTGAGGAGAGCCCAGCCAGGGCGTGTCCAGCCCAGCCAGGGTGTGTCCAGCCCAGCAGCAGTGCCAGGCTGGAAGCCCTTGCAGGGCAGAACAGCCCGGAGCAGTTCCACACGCCCTCCCTGGGCTCAGCCTGGCCATGCCCCCTACCCTGAGGCTCAGCAGTTGCCCAAAAAGTAGGCAGACCTGGGTTGTCCAGGCCCCCACCCCTCACCTGCTAAAAGCCCTGGAGTCCTGCCTGCCACACCTGTCTGTGCACCAGGCCTTGGGCTCAGGCTGGAGCCATTTACCTTGAGGCCATGTTTGTGACAAAGGCCTGGTTTGCTTGTCTGGGGCTCTGGGGGCGGAGGGGGGTGCAGGGTGAAGCATTGGAGGCTGAGAGACTAAAGCCAGCTATGCAGAGCCCCCTGTCGACACCAAGGCCTGGGCGAGCCTTCCCGATGGGAAAGATGTCATGGGTGTGATCACACAGAGCTGCTAGGAGGACCAGAGAGGGCCAGGTATCTGTATCCTGGGCTTCTCCCCCTCCTAATCTGTCCTAAGCTGTAACTATGAGTATAAAATGCTTTCTGGGTGCTGTGAGTCACCCTAGCAGATCAGTTAACTGTGGTTTCTCCTCTGTTGGCTCCTTGCCCACACTATATGGAAGTCAGGAAGCCCCCCCAGGATAATCCAGCACCCATCATACTTTCATGGGGGCTTTATCTCTAGTCTCTCCAGCCACTTCTTCATCCTCTGTGATGACAGGCTGGTTCTGGATACCGGTGGTCGGCCACAAGTTCTTAACTGCAAAACATCATTCAGTGTGAGAGGAAATCATCCACCGGGTCCCAACCATGAAGACCAGACCAGCATTTTGTCCCATGGCTTGTTTCATCCATGGGATTGCGAGCTGTCCGTACACTTCCTGCAAATGAGCCCACACTGCCGTTCTCCCTGGTCAGGCGTGTGTGTGTGTGTGTGTGTGTGTGTGTGTGTGTGTGTGTGTGTGTGTTTCAGCGCATCTTCCCAGCCATCTTTCACATGATGGGGGGTTTTATCATCTGGGTGAGAATTATAGCTAGCATGATATCGCTCCCTCCTTTTTTGCTAGGAAACTTGAAGCTCACAGGGGTAAAAAGTAACCCAGATGAGGGCCCTCCCTGGTGGCGCAGCGGATTAAAGCACAGCACTAAGAAGCTCAAGCCACGTGTGCGTGAGTTCGATCCCCACCCTGGAGGTGACCCACGTGGCGCTGCAGACCTCTCCTGACCCGCCCGCTGCTCCCCTCAGCAGTGTACTTCGTCAGTCTGCCTGTTTGGTTCCCCTCTCTGTCTCGGGTGAAGGCTCTCACCGCCCCTGCACTTCTGGCCTGTACCTCAGTTCTTTATGCATAAATAAATAAATCTTTAAAAAAATAAAAAAGTAACCCAGATGAAAGGATGGTGGTGGTGCTCGAGCGTTCTGTCCATCAGGGCACACCTGGAACCCTGGTCACAGCGCCAGAGCTGCAGACATAGCCCCAACTGTGTCCAACAAGCCCAGAGACTCCAGAAGGGGGCTCTGGGCCTGGGCTGGACTCAAAAGGGGCTGCACAAAGCCGGGTGGTCTGGAAATCAAGTCTGGAAGGGTGGGGACAGAATCCTGCCTGCTGTTGGTATTCTCATCCGCAACATGGGACAGGAGCATTTCCTGGTCCAATGCCAGGGCCCAGTCATAGAGTAAGCACCCAGCACACGGCCACCAGGCCCTATTGTTGGGGTCAACAAGCACTTGGGAATGCAGTCAGCACCCCCATGCACTTTGAGGAGGTTCACATGGGCAATTTTACGTTCTACGTATGTACAGTTAAGTGTTATGTCTTTTTCTGTAAACACAATGAAAAAAAAAATTAACTGTTGACTTGGAACAACCTGCTCTGCCAGGAAACACTTCCCTGACCTTCCTCTCCAAACAGCCTCCCGTTCAGGGATTTATGGGAGCCTGGGACAATGCATTGGGGTGGCAGGGAGACCTTGCTAAATGCCATGAGAGCCTCATCACCACAGGGTCTCGTCCACATCCAACTACGACAGGGTGCTTAGGGCTCAGAGCCTTGATTTCCCAGGTTTCATCCCCTCCCCAATCTTGACAACAGAGGAGTGAATTTCAATTAAAAGTAAATTCTCATGAAAAAAGGGGAGAAGACTGAAGGAGCATCCTGTTAATGGGGTGCATCTGACTTACAGCAGCCTCAGTAGCATTTGGGGCTAGGTCTTTCTCTGCTATGGGGCTGTCTAGCATATTTTAGGGAGCTCAGCATGGAGGGTGTCACCACCACAAATGTTTCCAGACAGTGCCTGGCGGTCAAAATCCCCAGAGGGTGAGAACTCCCATAGAAATGGGGCCACTGGAGGAGCTAAGAACACACCATCAGTGAGGCGTGACACCCCCAGGCTGTAGCACAGTGCCACACCAGGCCTGCCCAGGCCTGGCGCAGACTGGCCCTGTGCTTCCCACAGGGCACTTTCCGCAAATTTAGTTGACCTTGAATGATGTGGGGATCTGAGCACCCACTCTCACACAACTGGAAATCCAGATAACTTTTATTTTTTTAGCTAGAGATACAAGCTGGTTGCAGGGAGGTGAGCAGCACCCAATGGGGCCTGAGGGGCCCTGGCCACCTGGAGCTCAACTGAGAGGGCTTTGAGATCCTTCCCAGCACAAAAAGCACTAAAGCCTCCTGCTCACATTTCAGATCTTCTCCTGCTCACATTTCTCCCACAGCCAGCGGGGGCCCTGTGTGGTCTGTGTAAGACTTGATCAGTCTGAACTTTCTGTGACAGATCTGTGCTGTTTGCGACAATGAATTACACAAACAATGATTGTCCACCGATATTTCATGCATTCGTGATAAAACTTTTTCTTAAGCAGTAGCTATTCCTAGCCATGTGACTTGTCACAAATCTGCAAAATTTTTCCAATATACTTGTTGAGGAAACCCACACAGAAATAGACCTGCTTTGTTCAAGAGTTCTTGGCTGAGTTGGGTTTTTTGTCACTCCACTGGGTAGACTAGAAACCCTCACACCCCAGCTCAGGGTGTGGCTGTGTTTGGAGGCCAGGTCCTCGCAGAGGTAAGGCGCTCACACTGATCGAGCCTAGGCCTTGAATGCAACGCC